GGCGGAGGAGCAGCCCCAGCGCCAGGCCTCCCGACGCCCCAGGGCAGCCATCCCAGGCCGCGAAGCCCCCGTCTCCAGCTCAGGGCAAGAAGAGTCCGCGACTCCTGTGAGTAACGCAGTCTTTTAGGCGGTGGGAAAGACCCCCCTCTGTCCGCACGCCACCCTCCCGGCTCCCGTAGCGCCCACTCCACGTGACATGCTGCTTGCGCTGCCCCCTGCCGGCTCCGCACGCCTGGTGTCACCCATGCCCCCCCACCCCCCTGCTTCCCGCCCCTGCGCACCCCCTGGTCCCGAGCCTGCTCCCCGAAACCCTCCCGGGTCGGCGACACCCTCCGATCCCCAGAGGCCCGCTTCACCGCAGGCTCACCGCGCACCCTGGCAGCGGCACCCTCTTTGTCAGCCTGTCCCCTTCGCTCTGGCCGCCGCTCGCCGGCATTGCATCACGTCCTCCCCAGGACAGCCGCAGCCCAGTCCCAACTCGCCGACCTGCGTCCGCTTGCCCCCTCCTTCAGGTCACCTTAATGCAGCTCTTTCACGCTTAGCATTTCCCGCACCACTCTCCCCCTATTTAGAAACCGATCATGTATTGGTCGTGGTGAAAACGTGACTGCCAGTTTTAAATGTAGCCCCCCCCCTCCCCATAGGCTTTAGTATCTTGTTTCGTGTTTTTGTTTGTTCTTTTCTTTTTAAAACCAGATAGCATTTGGTGTTTTAGCATAGGATCTGCGCCCTTACAGTTAAACTAATCTGAAGGGAATTACCGATGCAGACACACCGGAGGAAATCATGAACAGAGAGCCAGGAAAGGTTTAAACTGACTTAAGATTAATTTCAATGAAAAGAACACAGGTTTGTTAAGTTTTAGCAATTAAGCACATTCGCTTTTTACTTCCATTACTGGAGGCACCATTATGTGTGCCATTGCCTTTGAGGTGAGGAAATACAACTTAGGAAAAGCATTGAGAATTGAGGGGGAGAAGAACCCCGTTTTAGGTGTCCGACGCCACTCGCCAAAGGATAGTGGCAGGATTTGACCTGTTCCAAAATTAAGAATTAAGTCAGACGTTTTGGCAAGCCTGCGTGAAGAGCCTCTCAGAAAGAGGAATGAAATTCATAAGTATAGCATGGAACTAGATGTGCTTTGGACTTTTAAAAGTCATTTGAGTTTCTGTAATTTGGGAAATGCAAACTACACTTCTGTGGGCAACAAAAATCTGTTCTTTAATTCTGCTTCAATTAAAATTCTTGACAATCATTAGGTATTATTTGCAATTACATGTGACTGGAGGCAGTATAGGAGTAAAAAACGGATGTCCTGACTGGTGGTGGTATAATGCTGAGCAGTGCACAGGAGTGCGTTTTGTGTAAATTTTGTGAATTATACAAAGTGGATTTCTCATTTTTTGCATCACCATACTTTCTACCACTAGTTGCCCTTGAGTCAGCTCCAACTCAAGGTGACTGACTGCAAGGTGTGTCAAAAAACAACTGAGCTCCTCAGGGTTTGCAGTGGTTCTGTTGCCAGGCCTTTCTTACCAGATGTCTTCGTGTGGCCCTGTGCCATCAGCCCTTTGGCTATGGTTGAGTGCCTTAACCAGTTGCACCACCCTGGCACTATTAGTACACACAGTGAAGTCAGTATTTAAAATATTCTAAAATTTCCTTTACTAGTACATCTGCTATTCGAATTCTCCCTCACTTTTCACTTGTTTTACTTAAAAGTATTAGAGCACTAATCAAAGATAATTGTAGTTATCATTGCTTCTTTTTCCTCCTAACTTCGAAAAAATACTAATCAGCCTTTGCACTTCCAAAATATGAAAGTTGAATTTAGTTGAACTTTTCAAAGGATCATAAAGTCTGGCTTGACTTCAGTTTTTTCTCCATACTATTCCTCATAGGGAGGAATGGATCATCATAATTCTTAGTGCCCCTCTCATCAATAGCTTAAAATTTAACAGCATTAAATATTCCCTCAGCCACAGACTTATTTCTTATTTATGAATTTCAGATTGCTAAAATGAATTTTCATTATCATGTTTCTGTTAAGATTTTTTTTCATTTTATTATGTGGCCTGGAAAATCACTCAGAAGTCCTAAAGCAGTTCAGCCCAAATCATCTTGACTGAGCCTGCCTGGACCCAGCATGATCCAGGACTGTGCTAGGGGTTAGTAGGCCTGGTTCCTAGTCCCTTAGGATCTTAATAGTGTGAGGGTAAGGAGCATTAATTAGTGAAGTCAAACATATGTACATGGTTTATAAATTAGAATTTTGCTAAAACACATGTTAACACTGATTTCTCCTACTCAGTTTAATCCTTTAATTCATTAAGACATTCCAAAAAGTCTTGATTATCAGTTACTGTACTTCAAGTGTCCTCTAGCCTGGATTCACCTCTATTTCCCAAACACCTTATTTCATTCAGGTCCTTTTCCCATATCCCTAACTTTGCCCCTTACAAGATCCTAGGCATCCTTTGGCATTTGTAAATAGCATACAAGTTCACTAATTATAGAAATTGAGGCTGTTTAAAACCTCTTGCTATTAGTTAACAAAATACTATAGTGAAAAAAGCCATGGACTTTGGCCCATGAACCCACATTTCCAGTCTCAGCTTTTTACTTAGGACACATTCCAAGTGACCTTAGGCAACACACTTAAGCTTTTAAAATCTCCTTCCTCATCTATGATCTGATATTTTATGGACTTGTTCAATGGGCTTCAGTATAAACTGGATGCTAATTAGGTCATAACTTTTAGGAAGTTTCTCAAGTGTATTTAACTTTCTCATTTGTAATGTTCATAACATTTCAAAAGAATAATGAGATATTTATGAATGGAATGAAATGAAACATTTGTTTTCAGTGAACTTGCTAAAGGGAAAAGAGAAGGCTTTCCTCACTACTATGGAGTGGATTCCAGTCGTGGTGAGCTGTAGTTTGGAACTGCCCTGTGGGTGGAAGAGTGGAAAGCTTTGTCCATGGGAGCAGTGACTGTTGCTTTCGCCCTGGCGATATTGCCGAAAGAATAATGGAAAAATCGTGTACTCGGTGTGATTTAAGAATTACATTGATAATTGTTAAACCAATAAAATTGAGTTGAGATTCCCATATTTCAGTGGCTGGTATTAAACTTTGTTTAAATTTTGAAATAACTGTCTCACAAGAAACGCATGCTAATCATTGATACAGTAGTTTTCAGACTGATACAGTAGTTTTCAGACATTTTTTCCCTTTCTCATTCATAAATTAAAACATGCTTACAGCAGAAATGTCAAACTTAAGTCTAGGTTAAAATGCAAAACTTGTTATGAGAGCTGCAAGAGTCCCCAATAAAATGATTTGTTTAAAAAAAAACTTTCCATTTTACTTTGTAAAATAGCAAGTTCTTTGTTTACTTGTGTTCTCAGTATTTAAAACTTTAGTAATAAATACTTTTAAAACTTCTAATTTAGCTGTTGAGTAATCATTTAACTAATACTGAGCATATTAGAAGTATGCCAGATTTAGATGAGAGTTACAGATTAAGGAAACAGCAGTATTGCTCTTTTCTGGTGCATGGAAGTCCTTTTTTTTTGCTGGGGGTGGGGTAGGGGTGTCTATTTTCTTCCAAAAGAGTAAAATGGCAAACTTTCAGATGACACTTTTCTTGCTATTTCCATTTTTAAGGAAACCATGAGGGCATGAATGATGGTAAAGAGGCTATAATCTGAACCGAAAAAATTACATGCCTCTTTCAGGAAGTCTTCAGTTGTGGAAGATACAAAACTTAGTTTTTCTTGTTGAGTTATTAATATGATAAAAACACTAATCTCATCCAAGAGGTTGACTGTTAAGTTATTTTTGTAGTTCTTATTTAGAGTTAAAAGTTGCAGTTATCTCAATTTTAAATGAAGATTAATGATATGATTTCAAATAAATTAGGACAATGTCAAGCTTTAAAAAAACAAAAACAACCAAAAAATACCTATTCCTAAATAGAACAGAATTTGTATTGGGCTGTGGATTCTGTATTTGTCTGAGAATTCTTACACTCGCTGGTTTTGTAGGTTTACTTCCCCTGCTGCCCTTCCTCCCCCTACGTACAACTTTGTGCTGATCAGGCAGTAGCAGGTTTATGATAAAATACAAGATGTTGGTTGTTAAACTGGATGGACATAGTAGGGAAGCCCTTTTTATTTGTGAAGTACAAGTTATATTTATTTTTGAGATTCAACTGTTGTTTTAGAAATAGATTTTGAGCTTGGGTTTAATTTGTTTTTTAGGTCCATTAAGTTAACTGTACAAATTGTTAAATACACAATAGTAAGAAAGCAAGATGCTGAAACCTTAGGGTCTTATCTCCTGGATTCAGCAGTTAGCAAGCGTTTGCATGCTTGCTTCACCTCTTCTGGGCAGAATTTAGAGCAAATCCCAAGCATGGGATTCATTCCTATTTAGTACATTTGTGTAAATCTGGGTATTATCTTACGTATCCTTTTATGTCATCATGCTTAATAAAATTAGCAGTATTTTCTTCATATTCATGTCCTTTGATGTTTATCAGAACAATAAATTCAGTCCCTCAATGACACAAGCTCTTTCAAGTGTGGCTTCTGAATAGAGAAGTACACAGATATAATGTTCCCACCAACTTAGAAGTTCCATTGGATGCTAATGTTCTAGATGCTTTCCATATTTTACAGATTGTATTATAGCCAGAAAGAGATAAAATGGCCACATTTTAAGAAAATGTACACAGTTGCTCATTGAATATTCATTTCTCATTTCTTTCAGATGCATAGAAAAAGTCACAACTGATAAAGGTAAGACTTAGTCAACTCTAGTTGCTTATAATTTGATGGAAAGTAGAATAAGTGTCAGCTTGGTAAATTCAGTTTAGTTCACATTTACTAGCGACTTTTATTCAGCAAAATACTGAATTATAGGCAGAAGTTATTTAGGTGACAGATTTGGACGGTTAACTTGGAAAATAGCATCTGTCTGCTAAGAATGTTTCTTATTCAGGGATCACTTTGGACATTTGGGGGGGGGGGATTTTATGATGGGAAAATGTAGAGAGGTATCACGCAAGTTCTAGAGCAGCTCTAATGTAAATACACCCCAAACTCTCCAACATGTCTTTATCAAAGCTAAAATTATGTCACGTGTATAGAGTATATGTAGAGAAATTATATTAGGTTGCCTTGAGAGAACTTGGAGAATATGGTAGACGTCTAATGGTTGTACTGAGAAGTTAAATGATATTCATGTAAACCAAAAGCTATATACATTGCTGAAGAAATTAACAATGCATTCTAGGTAATTCATCCTCAAAATCCCACTTTAAACCACCAGGTCAGTGATCTGAATATGGAGTTTTAGAGTCCAGGGTTTGAATTCGACTGCTGTCTTTTATTAAAAATAACTCAATACCTAAAATCTAGAAAGTACTCGTTAAAGGGGAACTATTATGCTTACATTAAACTCTCAATGAAATGGGTTGATGCAGGGGGTACAAAAATGGGCTCAAGCAAAGGAGCAATTTGTAAGGATAGGGTTGGAACCAACCCGATGGCTCCTAACAACATTATGCTTCTAACATTTTAAAGAAACAAGTATTTTCAAACTCTTACCAAATTGTTTTATTAGCTTATCAAATCAAGCCGTTTATTAGGTGTAATTAGTAATCATTGGAGAGTTGTGAATAGTATTTAGGTACACAAGAACTGATCTAATACACACTTATACAAATGACAGTGAATAGAGAAGAAGTCTATTGGTTTTGGTGATGATTGCACAACGCTTCAATGTTGAAACATTTGAACTTTATGATACATTAATATGTGCCAAATAAAACTGTTTAAAACACCAGAAAGGGCTATCTAGTGGTCACCTTTTCCTGTGCAGTTTAATTTCTCAAATTTCCCAAGATTCTTTTATATTTAATTTCTTACACTTATTTCATCAATGTAGAATAATATATCAAGGCTTAGTCTGCTGAATGTTAACTGAATTAAGTCATCCTCATTTCAAATGTTTGAGGCTTTTTACAAACCAAAGAGGTGCAGTTATCTGCAGTGATTATTGATAATTTGATATTATCAATTATCAAATTATTGATAATTTGAGATTATCAATGAAAGCTTAAGTCTCCTTGATTTTAAGATAAATATTCTTTGTGTGGTGCAAAAAGCTTGCACACAACCACTAGCCTAAAGAACAGTGGTTCAAAACCACCCCAACAGTAATCTGTTTCTGTAAAGATTAAAACTAGAAACTAAACACACTACCATGAGTTGGTTCTGAGTTAGCGTCTTAGAAATCCGTGGGGCAGTTCTGTCTGCCCTGTGGGCTAGCTGAGTTTGAAGATGACACCAAGATCCACTTGTAATACCTTGGGTCTCAATAAGATGCCTCAGGCTTGCGGGATTTGGGTTGGAGAGTCGGCTTTGACATGTTTAAATAAAAAGTGTACGCAAAGCAACTTTCCACAACTAGTAAATTATTAAATTGCAAAGTGTCATGCTCATTTTTCAAACTGAACTAGTGGGAAAGATATTGATGTTGGCCCCTGTTCTGTTACGTTTAACTGTAATAAGAGTATATAAAAAACAGGCACAGCTGCTCTGCTAACTAAACTTGTATTTATTCACTTTATTCATTAATAGCAATTAATTATTGAGTGTCCACTATTTGCCCAGTATGGTTCTAAGTGCTGGATTATACTGGTAATCAAATAAGTGTAATGAAGATATTAAAACGGGGTAATATGATGATGTTTCATCGTGGAGGCGAGGAGGGACTTAAGTTTAGATAAGATGGCAAGGGAAGGCTGGCCTCCTGGAGGAGGTGACATACGAGCTGAGACCTGAATACTGATAATGAAACAGCTATGCTAATAGATGTCTGGATGGGGATAACCACAAAGGAAAAAGTTTAAAACTTGGACTACTGTTGTCAAAGGAATATTTTTTATCATTATGGAACGTCCAAGACATCTGGAGGATTGGAGGTTAGTTTATCCTTTTTGACTTGGCTTTAGGTTTTCGTTCTGGTCTTTCCGGTTTAGACATAATTACATTCATGGTAATGAAGTAACAGGATAGTTTGCCTAAATGTTAATTCATTAACAATCCTTTTAATACTCATTTTTTTCACTTTTAAATCTACAACTAGACATTAACATGAATGCAACTAGATTATTCTCTATCTGTTGTATCTTTGCCATAAAAAATTAAAATTGCCTGTCAGGATTAAAAACACACACAAAAGGAGACTTAAAGAGATAAATGTGGGCAATACCCGAGTCATCAAAGTTACATTATTTTCAGCTTCTCAAACTGATTTTGAGTACTGTGCAATATGAATGCCAAAGTAGTCAGCAGTTACCTACCTTTGTAATTACCCTCCCTGTTTTCTTTTAGACTATTTCAGTAAATTAGAGTTATGGGAAACACTGATAATCTGTGTGCCCAAAATTTTTATTGTGTTCTTACCTTTTGTTTAATATCATTTGATTATGTTCATTAATTCTCATTATGGAGTAGTGATATTTGGAAAAGATGACTTAGACCATTATAAAGTAAGTTCACAATATTTCTGAGATTTTACTTAAACTATTTAGAGCTTTGACTCTTTCTCTTTTCAACTCAACTCAACTCATGACCGTTGAGTTAACCCTGACTCAGCAACCTCTGTGGATTTCTCAGACTGCTTATGGCGATAGCAGCCCCAGTCTTGCCCAGTCTTTCTCCTGGGGAGCTGCTGGTGTTTTTGAACTGCCGACCACACAGATTACAGCCCAAAACGTAACCACTACACCACCAGGGCTCCTTGCTTTAAGTCTCTTTGTCTTACCTCGTTTATAATCAGTGTAAAATTATCAGCTTGCTTTGGTTATAAGTTTATAAACTTCACATCACAGCCTTGATTTTTATTTTAATTTAGCCTAATTTATTATGTCTTTAAGACTTTCGTTTTAAAAAATATTTTTATGGTCTTCATTTCAATGAGGCTATTACTTTTTCCTTTGTTGGAATACTTTTGATTATTATCCTTTTAAATCAGACTGTTGTATCATATTCATATCTGTCTTGTTGACTTGGACTGTTTCTATTTTCTTTTACAGATGTGTCGCATAGCCTGTATTGTTGAAAATGTTTTTATACTTGTTATAGGACAAGTATCCTACCTCCTCCCCCTGCTCAGAAAATTTATTACAGCCATTACCATTCTGTGTAAAGAACAGTATGAGAGTCTCCTTGCTAAAGACCTGGTTTCCATAGTTAAAATAAATTCTTGTGTGTTGAATTGGAAAGAGCTCTGAGGGGGAAATAAATGAAAAAAGATGTACGCATCATATTTTAACCCTCAGATTTGCGCTCACTTTTTAGCTTGAGTGCTCTTCTCCACAAATGAATTGGTACTCTGGTAGTGGTGGCCTAAACACAACTAAAAAGGCCAAATATTAATAGCGCTTAACTTTCCTTTTTTTTAAACATTCCTGATATTGGCTAATATTTTAAAGGAACTTTACTAATTTTAGAAAACAAAGTGCTACTAATTATAGAAATATGATTGGTTAGATTCAGAAACAGCAGTTTCTGACTTTTACAGTAATGTTCTTCATGGCCTTAAAGATCTGCCTGTCTATTTTATAGGCATTTCATCTGGCCTTTTTTCCTCCAGAGTTTTTAAATTATTGCTTTCTTTACAAGGACCCTCCCTATACTCTTGTATTATTTATTGTTTTATAACCATCCAAAAACTTAGGGGATTAATATTTTTTATTGGTTTGCCAATTTATTCTCCTTTGGTATTTCAGCCCAGGCCACTTAACGTCTTGCCTCAGAGCAACATTCCAAAAGACTAAAGGCAGAAACACACAACAGACCATTGCCAATGTCAGATTTGCAACTTTCTATTTGTTCAAATCATGCTGAGTATTTATGGGTTAGAAACAAAACAGCAATGCCATCAAGCAGAAAACGGCTGCCTGGAGTTTCTGAGACTGAATCTTTATAGTGACTGACAGCCTCATCTTTTTTTTCCTGTAGAGCCTCTGGTGGGTTTGAACTGCTTGCTTTGCCATTAGCAGCCTAGTGCTTACTCAATGGTGACACCAGGATTCCTTTACTTATGAGTTAGCGACATAGATTCTGCCGCTTATTGGGAGGCGCTACATAAAGCCATGGAAGTCCTGTTTCCAATCTATACAACTCAGAGCCAGCACAACTACATGTTTTTAAAAACTCAGAGCCAGCACAACTACCTGTTTTTACAACCAACTGTGAACTTGTTCTGGTAACATGTCAACAAGCGTAAAAGGCCTTACCCATTGCCATCTAGTCAATTCCTACACATAGCGACCTTCTAGAATAGAGTAGAACCTCTTGGTAGGGTTTCCAGTGCTGTAATCTTTACAGAAGCAGACAGCTGCATTTTTCTCAAGTGTAAAGGTCTAGTATTTAGTATTGACATCCTCCTGGCTAAACGTATTTCCTTGCTTGTCAGGAATCGTGATTATTGAATTGAGCACTGTGTAGTATAAAATTTGTTCAGTCATTAGCTGCTGACTTGGAGGGGGGCTAGCGATCAAAGAAGGAAATGTAGGGCTTCAACTTTAGGCTTAGAGGCATCAGGAATCTTCTGTAAAGATGCCCATGGAAGTTCAGAGAGGCATTTCAACCCCGCGTGGCAGAAACCCTGCAAAGTCAACAGCTAACATAAAAGTTGGCAGTTTGAATCCATCTCATGGCACCACAGAATGTGTGCTGCTATGAAGATTATAATGGAGGGGGGTGGGGATGACACTCTAGCAGCA